AAGCCTGAGTCACAGCTTCAGAAGGAAAACAAAGGTATCTAATTCAAAAAGAAAACATCACTCTCCCGGCCACAGACTCCAGGGAGGAGCACAGAGGCAAGCTCCTGGCCCTGTGGGAGAGGGGGTCTAAACTACTGTGATGTGGAATTGCTTTCCCGTTTGAAGCATGCACTGTGTGACATGGAGAAAGTGTGCATGCCGGCAGTGTAGCCTATTGGTTTGGAGTAGGAGACAGGGAGTCAGGACTTCCCAGCTCTGCCACTGATTTGCTGTGTGGCCTTGAGCAAGTCACTTAGCAGCTCAGTGCCCCAGTTTTCCTATCTGTAAAATGGGGCTAAGATTTGCTGCCTCCCAGGGGTGCTGTGAGGCTTAGTTCATGAGTGTTTGAGACAACTGAATGAAAGGCACTGTAGAGTACTGTGGTTAGCTGGAGTGTGGCAGGAGCAGTGCCGCTTAGAAACACTTCCTGCGGCCAGCCAGAGTTCTGGGGATGCAGTTCAAAATCAGATCTCTGGAAGACCTTTGAGAGTCGTAGCCTTCCCCTCCCTAGAGATGAAGAGAGGCAGATGAGATCTGAGCTGTTGAGTTCCACTTACTCTGCCAAGATGGGAAGCATCAGTGTGAACAATAAGGGTACAAACAGGAGACCTGAGATTTGCCAGGGTGATTGTCTGATTGAACTGGGCCTATGGACCCGACAGCAAAACAAGATCCTGGGACCAAACACTACACCCTCCAATGCAATCATGATGTGTCACATTGCCACCACACACGAGTTGTAAGGGTGCTGTGGAAATCACCACTTTAAAAAGCACAAGTCTGGAAGAGATCTCAGATATACAATCCACTCAGATGCTGATATATTCGGACATCATCCAGAGACACACACGTCAAACATAATGATGAAGGAAACCGACTGGGATCTGATTTCCGGGATATGAAACAATATTTGTGTATTGCTGACAGGGTTTGTTATCCTGCAACGAGCACTGAATACAGATATCCACTGCAGCCATGGGACACTGCTGCTTGTCTGGTAGACTGTGATGATGTGCCTGCCACGGACATAAAGCAGGATTTTAAAAGGCGGTGGAGGCTGGCTTTCCAGTTATTGCTCAGCGATCTATTTGTAAGCACTGCACATTTGCTGAGAGAAATCACCTCCAAGTTTGATCCCTACCCTCCTATAGCTTGGTACCTTGGGTGATTTCATGTCACCATACCAAGGATGGGAAATATTCATAGATTCATAGATTCTAGGACTGGAAGGGACCTCGAGAGGTCATCGAGTCCAGTCCCCTGCCC